CTGTGGGAGCGCGGCCGTTTCGCTCCTCGCCCCCGCGGGGAGCCGCGCCCGGCCAGGCCGCGGGCGGGAGCCGTCTCCCCGGTAACCGGGAGGAATGTTAATGAGTTTGAATGTTTGACCTCGCTCGGTGCATCCGAGCGTGAGGGCAGCGGGGAGCAGCCGCGGCACCCCTCGGGGGGGCGGGACGGCCTGAGGGCCCCGGGCCGTGCCGCCGCCTGAGGGGAGGCGGGTCGTGCTCAGCCCCGCGGGGGGAAGCCGCCCTGGCGCCCCGGGGGAGGCGAGGCCGGTGGTGTTTTCACCCATTTCTACGGGAACCGGTTGCTGGGCTTGTGAGCACCGAGGCTGAGCCGCACAGATCTCCCCTAGGTCTCACTCCCGTTAGCAGATTGCTTCTCTCACCAGTTACCAAGATGAACCAGGGCGAGAGAGCTGTCACCGCTAGCAGGGTTCCCGCTCTCTTGTCCCAGTTTTGTGCCGGCAGGGGCTTTCCTCTCTCCTTGCTAAGATCCGCGTTGCAAGCAGGGTTTGCCTTTCCATCCGCCTGGGCCTTCAGCCACCCCCTCAGGATCTGAGCCCTCTCCACGTAGACTGTTCAAGAACTCCAGTCTTGCTGTAGTAACTTCCACCCTTTGGTGCTTGTAGGTATTTGTATCTCCCTGCCTCTCGTTTTTGGATGGCATTTTGCAAAGCTTTACCATCTGTATTTACTTGTTACCCTTTCCTCAAAAGTCAGTTCTTTCACCAGTAGCAAATATAAATTACCATAAATACTCATAAATACTGACTATAAGCAAATAAATTATGCGCATAAACTTTGAGTTGGGGTGCCCAGTATTAAAAAGAAAAGCTGAAAACTGCCCTGAACAGTTACGTTCTCCCCTTACATATCTGCCTAGGATTACATGCACTGTCTGCTCAAATGATCAGACTAAACCAAGCAACTAATCAGAGTCCATTTAAATTGGTAAAATTGCACTGGCATAACCAAAACCTGAAGACTGGCAACCATAACCGTCAGGCCCTTCAGAACCAGAGACAGCGTAATATTGACATATTTATGGCACGACTGAGCAGGGGTTATGGAAAAACCTTCAAATGCCAGTGAGGCGGCTCGGTTCACGACGGGGGGGCTTCAGGCAGGAACGTGGTAGTGGCAGCACAGTAGTTTTTAAGTCACCTAACCAGAAAAAAAGCACTAGGTTATGAAATGATTGTACGCATACCAACATTGCCTCAGACGGCCAAATTGCTAGTTACTGGAAACCTTTAATTACAGAGGTACAGAGTGAGTGACAGAAAGATTAGGGCAACGAGTGGCAATCCGTATGCAGATGGGGTACAGAATGTTTTTCTGTGCAGCATAGAGAAAAAAAAAAAAAAAAGATACATTTAGGAGACTTGGTAAGCAATGCAGACCAAACAGAAGAGGTAAAAGCAGTGAGGATATTGGGGCACATCTGTTAACAGACAAGATTTAGTTAGGGATGTAATGAAAGCTCAACTTGAGCAGAATTCTTACATTTTTATGTTTATTGACCAATACAGACAAAACAGACTTGACAGAAAAAATCAGCATTTTCAGTGCAACAGAACGACAGGAAAACTGCACTGTTTCACTACTTGACATTAAATAGGATAAATTATGTGTAGATCTGTGCAAATGTGGATCAAAATTTAGCAACCAGATACCAAGGACTGCAGTTACAGACCCTGCATTCCCAACATGCAGGAGCTGGGCATTTCCAGGATGAGAAAGCCAAAACAACTCTTCCTGATATATGGAATATCCAGAAAAGCTCAGCAAAATACCTGCGTGCAGTGCTTGAGGTGGTGTTCTCAGCCCCACACTACAACAGGACTGCTCCAGCCTTGCCACACAGGCAGGTTTCACACCAAGTAGCCTAAATTGCCAGGCTGTCAGGACACTCTGTTCTTTGAACACTAGTGTTGTGTGTACCTGCAAGTTACTGATTTTCACTAGCTACTTTTCCAAAGGTGGCCCCCAAAACCTTCACGCTAGTTTGACCACTGGCTGACCCCACGCGCTACGCTCCAGGTAAGGCTCACACAACCAGAACAGAGCTAATGATACACTAGCTGGCTTTCTACATTTTCCAACCAAAACGCTGTTTGTTGTCATGTGTTCTCAGCATTCACCCATAAAATGTTTACTTTATGGCTTATTTAGGACTATGACAGCTTCTTAGATTTTGTATAGAAAATATCTTGATCGGTTCCCAATTGAAAAAAATAAACCTCAGCCAATGTTTATGTTTCTGCCCCTGGCATTTTCATCACAGAAATGCAATCGGTTTTATGGCTCAAAGATCCTGTTTTTTTCTAACCAAGCACACATAAGTTAATGTACCATTTTCCACGACCCTTTTTTTTTTTTTTTTTAAGATGTTATTTTCTTTAGCAAAAACAATTTGAAAAGCCTATTTTGAGCTCCAAAAACCTTTACACTTTTCAGGGGTCCTTCTGCCCGCAGGCCAAGCACACCGGGCCTAGAGCCCTGCTGCAGCACAGGCCCGCCCCGCCGGGCAGGGCAGTGCTGGTTCCCGCGGCCATGCAGGGCAGTCGGCAACAGCGCTCTGACCGCGGACGCCCGCAGCACCAGGGGCACACGACTGTTTTGCGGGGTTTCTGTCAGCGGGGAGTGTCGCCTGCACCTGTCACCCGCCCTCCCAAACCCACCCGCGGCCCTGCGCTCAGAACCGAGTAAAGAGCTATATACCCCCCCCCCCCAAAAAAAAAAAAAGTTATTTTAAACGTTTTACAAAGGAGATGCTGCTTGTTCTAAGTTAAAAAATGTTTGGTATAGGCCTTACGGTGTTTTCTTCATTGTTTTGGCTGCAGTTCCCATTCTCGTCTCTATCGCTCTTCCACAGCTTGCAATGGAATTGGGAATTCTGTTCTGAAATATCTTCTGGAAACAAGATGGTGTTTTTTCTTTCCCATACAGAAAGTTTTAATTAGGGATACCCGCTATCTTACAGGGGATCTACTTGTATTTTCTCCATAAACACAGATAAAAGTGGGCCAGGACTGTGCAATAATCATAACTCGGCATGAATGTCAATACTGATAGATGGAAAGATGAAAGATGCCCCGTCCTGTGCTGGAAGAACGTGTAGCACAGTCGACTTGTGACCTAGAGCTCCATATGTACTTAAATAGAGATGGGTCTGAAGAATCCTGTCCTTTCCTCTCTCATTCTGTCTCGGGGGTCAGTAGGCACCAGTACTATATTTGCGGTTTGAGAAATCTCTTGAACCTGAGCAAAACATCCTCTCATCAGGTATGTGTATGGTCACAGCTGGACTGCCAGTGTCACCGAATTCCTCTGTTAGGTTGCTTTCTTATAAATATGTTCTGTCTGAAGAAAGGAATTGCAAAAGTAGGGGGGAAGGATAACAAGCTACAATGTGAAGAGAGAGGATAAATAATGCAGGAGAACAGCCTTTTGGGTCAAGGCACAGGACGGATAGGAAAAGCAAATGGTTTACAGTACCTTAAATACCTGCTGGTTTATCAACACAGTGATCCCTGCCTCCGCCTGTAGGAGCCAAAACAATGGATGAAAGTATTGAGTGAGATGCACAAAAAAACAGAGATGAGAATTTGAACAGACTTAAGATTCAGCCTTTGTTGCAATTTGTCCTAACACAGTTCCCCGACTGGCCTCATAGTGGTACATTTCCAGCTGTACTATGTGACGCATAACTCAGAGGTACGTAAAAAAACCACAGGGGTACGTTCAGATACCCACACCCTAACTGGAGCTAAAAAGCAGCAGCTTTTGAAGACAGGGTTGAGAAGCACCAAGGAGCAAAGCCTGTCCCCCACTTCCTTCACCATCGTAGAGGTTCTGGAAGTAGCTTGGCTTGGCTCTCTAAAGCCGCTACCAGCAGCGCTGATTTAATTAAAAATTTATGTTTATTGTCCACGTGGTGTGCAGCTGAGCGATCCACTGTGGCTCCTCACAAGAGGAAAAATGCTTGTTGAATGAACCATGATCTGCCCCCACCTTTTTTTTTTTTTTTTTTTTTTTTTTTTTTTTTTTATGGTTTAATTGAAAGTGGGAGAGACAGGTTTAGAACTGCTTTTGGATGATGGCAGAGGAACTTCTCTTAAGTAATCTGGCGTGGTTCCAAAAGGCATTCCAGTTCTCAGAAAAATAGGTATTACTAGTCATTGCTTATATGTTAGGAGTTGAAAGATTAGTAATTTTCTCTGCCAAAGTTTACAGTCAGCCTTTACCATGACAGTAGATCAAATACATGTAGTTGCCTGGGCAGCTGACCTGGTTTGAACTCAGCAAGTGTTACTCTCAATGATGACTACATTGTTGGAACAAACACTCCGCTATGCTTTTTAAAGCAACCTTAACCTTGTAAAGCATTAACCAGACTCTCAAGCCTGTTTCAAGCACCTAGTGCCCTTGGTGCCTTGGTGCATTATTTAGACTCAGGAGATCTAAGCAGCCAGATGACAGAACTGGATTGAGACAAGCAGTAACAGAGTAGAACTGGCCTGTTCTGCAGTCAGACCTTCCCCTGAATAAGGACAACTCCCAGCTGGTGCCAATGGGAGAAACAACTTGATCCTTCCATTTATTCCTCTGCGCTCCCATTCCTCTTCTTTCTCACTTTTGGCTTGCATGCTGCAGAAAGACAGTTAGAAATAGCTGTTCTTACATGCTCAGGCTGTTTGATTTTGGAAGTTGGCATTGGTTTTACTGGAGACAGAAGAGCACCCACGAGCACAGAATAAAACAGCCCATCCCCAGGCAAAGCTGTAACAGAAGGGAGGAGTGAAAGGTGCAGGAGCTGAGCATCTTCTCCTTATTCAGTTTCTATTGAAGTCAATGACCCAGATTTCTCTGACTTCAGATGGCTGTTTTCAGAGAGCTTGCTGGCAGCATGGTGCTGGGGAAGGTCAGGCAGAATTTAGCCTGAAGTATTCTGCATGCATAGGCTTATCAAATCTGGATCTGTAGAACTTGGACTAGTTGATCTTCAAGGTCCTTTCCAACCTAGTAGATTCTGTAAACTTGATTCTGAAAAACCAATGGTCTTCAGTGAGGTCTGTGGAAGTCACTGGATTGACTAGTACACTGGGCTGCAGCTTGCAAGGCTGTCCTAAGCTCGGGATTTCTTTCTGTCCTGTACTTTTGTGACCTTGCTCCCAGATTTCCCTCTTAAAAAAAAAAAAAAAAAAGCAGAAAACCCAAACCAGTTCTTAATCCCATGGGTTTAGATTATTAAGAACCCAGAAACGTGGTAAACCTCTCTTTGGCAAGAAAGCCTGACCTTCTGTGGAAAACTGGGAAAATTCCTACAGACTAAAATCAGGCTTCTAACATAAAAGCATTACAGTCGTGCTCTGTCTCTTTATGAAACAATCACTGTAACTGCACATATTTTAAAAGAGCAGCAAGTAGTGCAGAAACTCACATTATTAACCTGTATGCAGTTTATCCTGTAGGTTTTAGATTCATTAAGTTTGCCGATGAGACTGCTTTGGTTTGGTTTTGTTTTTCCCCCTCTCTTTTTTTTTGTACTCCCACCATCAGTTATCTGCAGCAGCAGAACAGGTTTCTGATACTAATGTCAGCCTGCAGTACCCTTCGTTAGCCCAGCCAGGGGGATTCTGCTAAATTACCATCTCTCTTATGGCCCATTTTACTCTGCTTAAATCTCTCATCAGAAATTTCAGTTGGAAACTAGCTGCTGTCTCAGTATCAGAATATGCACATTGAATACGTTAAATCTCAGCGTACCAGGCTTCCCAGGTTTTTGGAAACCTACTTATGCAAATATCATAATGCAACATAGAGACAGTAACAATGAATGCTGGTTTAAGAGGCAAATGTACCCTGGATTCCATGCTTGTATCTCTCTACTTCATTTGATACAGAAAGTCTGATTAGATCTCTCAAGATTACAGTTTAAAAGGGCTTGGGAAAAACAGACTATGAGTAACTTGGATTTTTAAAATGTATATTCAAATATAGAATCAGCTTTACCGGTACAGAGCATCACAAAGCTGGATTTCAGTTGTATGGCTCTGTGTTTATCAAAAGGAAAAGGAGGTATTTTCCCATAATCATATGTTGGCTTTGTCTCACCAGTGTCCAGGGCTGCCGCGTGCTGTGACGCAGGACGGAGCAGCTGCGCTCTGGGGATTGCGCTCCGAGGGAAGGGAGCAGATTCAGAGTGTTCAAACCACGAGTCCTCCTACCTCTCCTTTCTGCTGGAGTCAGCAGCTCTGCAGAAGTCCTGCTCCCTGTTTTATCTTCTGAAAAATTAGACTAATTGCTAACGACTCCTGTGAGGACAGATGTGTACAGAAAAGATGTACATTAAAGGAGATGCACGATATTTGCCATGTCAAACAATGTTCGGTTTTGTGCCGTCAGCTTTGCAAAGTTCTTTTAATGCATTGAAGTGAAATGTTTAAGTTAACTGAGATGAATACAATGATAGCTGGCAGCTGTACCATAATACCCCTTCAATATACTGCGGGCACAAGGGAGCTTAGAAGCATTGCTGTTGTTTGTTGCTTTATTCTGCCGTTGACTTTTTTTAAATGTCATATTTTCTTTTAAAGTTATCTGCTCTGATCTGCAGTAAAGTAGGTGCATAACTGACTGTATTTGGACTAAAGATATTCTTGTCCGTATGTTTCCTGGCCAGGCATGTAGACTATAAGCTACATCAAAAGCATCAGGCAGAAAGTTATACTGAAAATATTGGACATAAATAGTTTAATATTAAAGCCGGCTTTGTATTATTTTTATTCCCATTCATTTTTAAAGCTGTTAAAAAACCCTTTTTAATTAATTGCCTTGCAAAACAAGTTGGTTTTGAAGGCTCACAACTAGCATTTTCATAGGCAGGTTTCTGGTCTTCGTTTTTTGTTTTTTGTTTTTTTTTTTTTTAAACCGCCGAAGGGCATAAACATACTTACAGTTTGCTATAGCCATCTGACAGCATGTATGCAAGGAAATAAAGATCTCCTACTCCTGTATTTTCCCTTAAATGGCTTTGACCTGGAGAATACATTATGTTGATTGGCATGAGAAAGAAGGCTGTGATCTTATTTTTACTGTTTATTATAGCTGTTTCAAACTTATCAAGGAAGAAATAGAGGCTTTTTAGATGGCTGCTTGCCAACATCACTAATCAGAATTTTAATGAGATTTTTCTTTTTGAGGCCCAAATTCGGTCTAATTAACAATATATAAAGCAAATGTATAATGGGATGCAGCCTACTGCATATAGAATGTGTTTCAATCTCTTTACAAATAGAAATGTTGAACAAAATACACATTCTTATGCTGTTTTAAATATATGCAGCTTTTTTTTTTTTTTTTTTTAACTGTTATGCCTTAATTAACAAGTTGCCTTTAGAAAATGTGGTCCTAGAGTTTTGTAACAACTTTGACATCTCTGAAGGAGAGTAATGCAGGTGCTTCTGGCTGAGCCTCCTTGTACGATTCCTGTTCACTTTGACACAGACTCTTGAAAACCCCAGTCTGACACACGCTGCTGTCACAGGGAGAGCGTGAGTTGAGCCTTTTTACTTCCCTGAAGTGCTCCATTTGCCATCATCCCATCTTTGGATGGACCATGTGTTCCTATTGTTTGTGGGCTGGATAACTAGCCTGCAGCTCCCATTTCCCAACCATCACAAAAGGCACAGTTATATTTAGTCTATACACACTGTTTTTCTCCAAGCATTTAAGACAGAAGATGATTAACAATTACATGTCATCCATTTAAAACACAGCGTTGTTTCTTCGTCCAAAGTATATTTTATGCAAAGAGGGATAAACCAAAAGGACTTTTCTCTTTCCCCCTTGCAAGATTCCGTTGTTATTTATGGTACTGTACTTCAGTTCTCTCCATGTCTGGCTTATCTGTTACATATCAAATATTTCAAAAACAGAAAGCCTCTTTAATCAGAGTTGCCCAGATGCAGCTTAGTGCAATTAAACACCTAAAAGTATAGAACTGCAGTTTCTGCCTAAACAGACCATTTCATTCACAACCTGTGACCATTAACCAGGAAGCCTCTTGCAAAGCCTTCTTCCAAATTTCATGTTTAGTAACTGAATCTAATTGCTTTATTTCAGCTAAATCAATATCCCTTCTGATTCATTTAGCCTGTGAAACTGAAGATGAATAGCAGCAGTAATGGTGGGGTTAAAAAACCCACCAAAGCACACCGGAACAGAATGAATATAGAAACCAAAACAGACTCTCCCTTGCACAAACTCAGTCATCATTTCTAGTAGTATTGGGTTGACGTGTTCAAAACACTTGAGCAGGACTTTGAGTGTCACTCTAGACCAGGTTTATCTGAAACGTTGTGACTAGAATTTATGCTAAGTGGTAGCATCTGTAGTTAATAAGATAATCTATCAACTGACCATTAGCTTTGAACTAACACCAGACATATTCTAAGTAAGCTTAAATAGCCATTTCAAATGTGCATTTCTTGAAGTGTGTAAATAAATATACTCACAGCAATTTTAAGGAAAGAGCCAAACCACAGGGCAGAGTGAGCCAGAATAATTTTGCATCTGTTACAACACTCAGGATAATGTTTTGGTTGATTTATAGTGAAAATATTTGTTTTTCAGCTGGAATTTTGGTAACTTGAAACAGATGTTCACAGTGATGTTGGAATACTGTCTACCCATGCTTCTCTGTTCAATCAAGTGCTGTTACACATTTAAATTAATCTAGGAAAAAATTAATATACTGGGAAATGACTAATATTAAGGAAGGTACATAATAATGGGATTCCAATTTGATTATTTTTCCATTTTATCAGAATTTCAAGACATAAAATAACACATGCAAAAAACTACTGAAGCTGCTAAGTTTCAACTGTTTTGAGACCCTGGATGTGCTCGTCTCTCAATATTTTTTTCAAGGACTCATAGTGTTGAACCAACACAGCTTTCCAACTTTCTTCCTCCGTTACTGAGCTAGGGAATATTTAAACAAGGGGAGAGAAGGTTCTTCTCTATAATGAGAAAGTTGTTTGTATCTCCTAAAAATGATTAAGAATTCAATATATTATTTTTTAAAATTCCTATTTATATCACCTGAAGATCTCTGACTATAGAGCAGCCATGAATACAATCCTCTCTTCCCCACTGCTTTACTCATGTACCTCAATGTTTAGCCAGAAAAGGAGAGGAGTGTGTCTCTGTGCTCATTAAATTAGCTGGGGGAGCAGCATGTTCTGAAATCCAGACATCTTTGCATTCACTTCAGTGGCACTGAGCTCCTGAGCTCAGAAGCGAACGGCACTTCTGTCAATTTGGAGAGGCTGCCTTTTTTTTTTTTTCTTCCCGTTTTTCCTTAGGGAGGCAAGTTACAGTCTCCTCTCAAGTGCAAACATCCAAAGCTATTTGCTGATGTGAATTCCAGATCGCCAGTGGAGCCCTGCCTGATGTCTTTACCTTATGAGGGTTGTTGTTTCTTCTAGGAACTTTCAAATACTCTTCCGCAATGTTCTTGCTTCCCAGGAAAGATCCAAATAAGCTGGCACACAACTATTTAACGTTTATCCCATTTGCAGCTACCTTTCTTTCCAGGCAGCATCACTATATTCTCAGTGGTTGAAAGCACTAAACAACGTCAGAGAGGAGCCAGTGACTTGTTTCTGTGTGATGCAAACATTTCGCATTACAGTTACTGCATGTAGCTCTTGAATATGTACACAGAGATGTTTCCTCACTGCTTTCAGGCACTCGTAATAATCCTTGGTAACACACTCAGCCTGGGGTGAGCTGCCTGCTGGTCCGTCCTCAGTGCCGTTGGCTGAGAAAAGGGCAACTGGGTCTCTTTAGGCCTCAGCTCTTTTACACCAGTAACTCATCCAGAGAGGTACACTATTAACTTTGGAAGAAATGGACCCTTAGCACAAGCTGGTTATGCAAACGCAGTACAAATGCAGAATTTACTAGAATATACTCTTTGCAAGCAAGTTAGTATTTATAGCGGTGACATGAGTCACCTTCTTAGATGCCATGGATACGGCATTTCATCCGCTAACTCCATTGAGTACAATCAGCTTTTCACAATACTTTGCACTTGCACTTGTACAACTGAGTGATTGTTTCGCTCCTCAGGACACTCCTTCCTCTCTGTCCTGGTGAGAACTGGAGCCAAGAGGCATTTGAAATCCCTCTATGGCCAAGAAGCTTCCATGCAATAGAAACAAAACTGTGCAATAGACTTGCAGACAAGATGTTTCAAACATTTCTCTGATGCTTTGCTCAGACATCCAGCACCATTATTTTATCTTGGTTGCTATCTAACTGACTTTCAACTGTTATATTATGTGAGTTCTTCCTTGAAAAAGCTGTCCCTTCTGCAAGCAGGGCCATATTGTCTCATTCATTTGAATTTCCTTGAGCAGTGGGTGTTAGACCCAGGCTCCCCTGAGATATTGGAGTGCTGGGCTATCACAGCTGTCTGCATCCTGTACTCCTGGTCATGGGTCTGAGAAATCTGTTCGCTCTTGGTCTGTTTACAATCCCTTATAATTCGGTTTTAATTACAGGGCACCTCAAGACTGAGAGACACGTCGAGATTTCCTACTGTGTGGGAAGAGCTGTGCAACAACCCTGAAAGGCACAGAGCTAAACCTGATGTTTATCATACATGCTGTCCAGGAGTCTTCATCACTGGAAATGATCTTCCATGTGTTATCAGGTGGAAAAGTTCTGAACCCTATTTTAATACTGTGTTTGAAGAATAAAATTTTCTTCTAACTTAAATGTTTACACCTGATCTGCAGTCTTCACTTATCAACACAGTTCAGTACCAGGGTTAAAGCACCAGGCTGGTGACCAGGCTCAGCTCTTCAGCCTCTGCCACCAATTGCTGCAAGTGGACAAGTCTCTCAGTTTCTGTCAGTGTTCTCTCTCTCTCATTACCTCTGTTTCCTGTAGGCAGGAGGTATCTTAAGAGAGTAACATCTGTATCCCAAATAAATATTTGCAGAAGTTATCTGTGTGATTTCATATATAAATAAAGTAACGAGGTCTATTATGACATCGATGGATCAGAAGCCTCTTGTACATGACAGCCAGGTGGTTGTTTCCAGTAAGAAGACCTGTACAGTACATTATATTTCTCTGAATCTCACAGTAATATCCTCTTGCTGCTCTCTCAAGCCCTGTTAATGAGCTGCTCAGAGGTTGGGAGATGGCATCTGCTTAGTAACAGAGTCAGTACTGATCTCAGTTATTGCAGATTTCTGCATTTTGCTAGCAAACAGTCTAATAATTGCTCATCATAAGAAATCTGAACCGCTTAGATCCCAGTTAGATTTTGAGGGTTTGATCCTGCCAGGTGCTGAACGGTGGTTGAGAGCTGAGCCATCCTCAGCCCATCAGAGCGGGTCAAGGCACTCGGCATGCTGCAGGTCCAGTCTGGCTTGGGTGGGGAACCTGTGCAAGATACAGGAAAGCACCTTGATTACTCTGGGTTACTAGTAGGCGAGACTAGTTTACTTATGAGTTGTACTGAGGTCCTTTGGAAGTCAGTCAAAGGCTTTATTATTCTAAGATTAGTAGCTCATGTGTAATCTCTGCTAAAACAATTCACTCTCACTAGGCTGTTGAAATTTCTCAGGTGCTATACTGCCAGATTGACTGGTTTTTAAAATCTAAGAAATCTGTGGAACATTGCATTTCTGGTATAAGAGCCAGAAAAGGGTCCATCATGGTCCATGCCACTGTTTTTTTCTGCAAAGGTAACACTGGCTTTATTATTGGATTTGCTGTCATCTGATGGTGCTTGTAAATTTTAAGAAGAAGTAAAATATGCATGAGTTCACGGGAGAGGATTTTGTAGCTCTAACATACATTGTAGTTACAGACAGAAAATGTTTCTGGTTCATTTAGGGAATATGCATTTCAGCACTCAGAGACACCCTTGTGATAAGGCTTCAGCACAGACAGCAGTAAGGAGAGTCTGAAAATCAACTGAGAAAAAAAAATAATTTTAAGCTTTCCAGTTTTATAATAGATAACGGGAGATGTGACTCCTTTTCAATATTTATAACAGTTCTCTTCAAAATTAAAAAAAAAAAAATCAGTCTGATTTATCTTTTTTCAAGATTGTAGGTGCTTCAGGGGAGTAATTTCTATTCCTTAGCAGAGGATGTTGCATACAGAGAACCCTGACAGCCTGTTCCTGGCCATCCTTGCTCACGGGCGAGGGTGTAACAAAGGATGGCAGGAGCTATTCTGAGCTGGTGCCTTCCCAAAGTCTTTCTGCTTTAATTCTGGCATGGTTTTTCCTTCTGCTCCAATAGCTGCATTCCCTGTTGGAAAAAAAAGACGTCAGCCAGGTTTCCTGCTGCAGAATTTTACTCTGCTAAAGCCCTGCATGAAAGCAGTTCATGTTTCCCTGTCCCTTGGTTTTTAGGTGCTATTTTACAGCTGCTCGTGTGGTGCCATAAAGACCAGAAGAACAGCCTGGCACCAAGCGAAACCATCGCAATATTGCCATTGGGGTTTTCAAGAGAGGTAAAATTTCACTCTAGCTCTGGGATCTTACCAAAGTAGGTTGGGTGTAGTGACTTCTTGTGCCTCAGTGTTTGGACAATGAGGATAATGTTTGCTTGCCTTGAGAACTACAGAGGAGCTACAGCGGTCCCATGCGATCGGTCTTGTTAAGAAGGGAGGCGAGGCTTCCCTGGAACTGTGGTACCATTTCAAGTGGTGACTCCGGGGAGAAGTCTGCTAACAGCCTTTTCATCTTCTCTGCGCCCTGGCTCATGAATAAACATAGGGGAAGAGGGAGATAGATGAAAAGCAGCTGGGACCCATGTTGCTGTAGAGCTGTGGATCTTCCCGGGCATTAGCTATAATTGGCTCTTTTTGGGCTATCCCGGTATTTTAGCAGGTGTTTCAGTGTCTCCCCAAAGGGAGGTAGAGCAGCCCATTGCAGCAGTGCTTTAAAGCAGCTCCAACTGATTTTAGGTCATACTAACAGCAAGTCAGAGGGAACAGGCAGCCTCGGAGGGAGAGCTCTGCTCCCTCTCCTGCCTCGACCCCAGACATCAGCGCCCTTGTGATCTGGCTGCAAGAGAGCCTTGAATCGATTTGAATCTCACAGTTCACTATAATTTTAACATGTACCCCCCCTCCTAGATCTGTGTGAACCAGCACAGGGCTATCATAGCTGAGGTTCTTATCCAGAATCTGCATGTAGATGTGAAATAGTCTTAAAAATCTTGACAGGTTAACTTCCATGAAAATCTCTTGTTAGGCAGTAGTCACTACTAGCAATTATCATGCTTTTATCTGTAGCTGTCAATGCACTGTAAAAAGTGGCTGTTATTCCCGTTTTATAGAAGAAACAGATGTTCTAGGGATGTCTGAATAGATTTAATACAGAAATTGCATGCCTAAAAGGTGTGCTAGAAAATCCCATCATTATCACATGACTGATTTTATTCAGTGCACCCAGGAATTCAGCAGATCTGCTCGTTGTGCTTTGCTTCTCATTTGTTTTAAAGCAGTAATTTTTAAGTTTTCATTTTACCACCGTTTTGGGGCAGAGGAGAAGCTGAAATGAGGCTATAATTATTGTCTTTGGGAGGCAAACTTTGAGGTAGGGATTTATTTGAAACTTCTTGAGATTTGTTTTTTTGATCAAGAGACACAGAAGTCACATTTGTGAAATCCAATTAGGCTCCAGCCCTGGCAGGGACACATGACATAAGGCATATATGGCCATCTGACTCCCTGTCCTTCCCTGCTCTTAAAGCCTTCAGCCCCCATGGCACAGCTGTGCTTCTTACCTCAGGTATTTGGGATTACTGCAAACTCATTTTACCTGCTTGGGAGTCGTCAGCGCTGCAGTCTTTCCCTTGGGAACATGGTAGATGACAGGGAAAAGGCAGCTGAGAACTGTGTCACTCTAGGGGAGTGATCAGAACTGGGTAGGGCAAGAGGAGAGCCATAGATGGATGTTGTGATGGCATCAGGACCATGAACAACTGCTGAAGGCAGTTAGTACAATAAGAGATAGGAGGCTGTGCTGTCGCCTTGGTTTTAACAAGGAATTGGACACTTCTGTGCATGTCTTATTTAGCTTTCCTGCCTGGAGCTAGAATTTGTCAGTACCTTTACAGAGCTAACTTTTTTTTGGATTGAGGACTTTCCACTACAATAAGCCAGAATTTGTTAGAACAAGGAAGAGCTTACCTGGTAATGATCCTTTCTCAGGAACCAGCTCTCATGCACTGCGGACTCAAGGATGTGATGATGCACTGTGACCACTGTCTTCACTCCCAGGTGCAGAGTCCCTTGGCTTGCCTTTCCTTTCTGGTTATAGCAAAAAAAGAAACTAGATACTTCTCCTTACTTGGAGAGCAGCAATTTCCTTCGGCCACATCAGAAACCAGATTGCTAATTGCCCTGCTGTGCTGCTCACCTCTCCGGGCAATAGCTGTCCTTTGCCTGGAGGAGTCCTCTTGTAGCACCCACTTGCGCCATAGCAAAACTTCATTCCTAATGGCTAACTAGTTTTCTTATAAGAGGGAAGCTGTATTTTTATGAATGTGAAGTTACCAAGGCCTTTTCCTTCACTTTTCTGAAACTCTAAGTCGATTAATTTGTGTATACATGACAGTCAGGACAAGCAATGATAACAAACCGGACTGAAAAGAGACGTCAGAGTTTTGTACCAAACAACCTTTGAGCACAGCAGTAAAACTGACTTTTCTATTATCTTCAGCCAGCCGCAGGACTTTCCTGTTAGTGTACATTTACTATTGATTTGATTTTTGTTTTTTATATAATTCCCTGCAGGACTCTAAATGGTTATTGGAACACCAGAGCCTATATCACTGTGCTACTTCAGAAAAAATCAGAATGGGTTAACCACATACATAGAAAGTTTAGGCCCAGGTGACTAGAATACATTCCCAAAGATGAGCAGATGGACAAATTAATAAGATGAAATTAATTACATTTACACATTTTCCTTTAATAACAATGATTCCTTTTGGTTGCATCTTTCAAAGCCAAAGAACAAGTCAGTCATACATTAACACTGTTGGTGTCCTATTTCCTGTTTCGCTGTATCTTTACTATTTACAACACTTTTGTATTTAATTTGAAGGAATAATATGACCTGAGAGTGACAGGCAGCTTTCTTAATGGGCTTCTCTGCTCCTGCTCATGCCATGACATCAATTATGTACAGTTGTCTTTGACTTGGAACGTGTAACCCCCATGGTGACTAATTACAGTACCTAACGTTAGGGTCTCCAGTGGCACAGACTCGAGATTAAAAAATGCAGTTGAGCCTGCTGCTTGGGGATGGAAATCTTCAATGTCCCGAGAGCTCCAGGCCCTTGTTGGTTTTCTCAGGCCATTGGGGTTGGGAAGGAACAGTGATGCTTTACCAGGCTCTGGAGTAAAAATGAAAACATTAGAAGGAACCCCAATGCTTTGCCTTACCTAAATTCCTTTCTCTTTTCCATATCAGTGCTATTATTGTTATATTTTTATTTTAGACCATAAACATAATTTTGTTTCTTTTTTCCATTTTAATGAGTTCTCTTCATGTACAAGAGCAGGGATTGTTCTTGATAATAATAATTGGGCCATAGGGAAATACTGATTGTTTAATAGCTAAAGAGCAGGGTACTTAGAGAGATTAAGACATTTCTGATCAGTCCGTGGCTTTTGGGGGTCAGAGTGAAATCATGACTTATTGTGGTTTGAACTCCATCCCAGCTGAAACCAAGATACTTACTCAAAGCAGCAGCAAAACTACTTATTTTTCATGGTTTGCTTTTAGCCAAGAAGCTCAGCAATCAAACTGATATTCCCCATAATGACTGTCCTGACAACTGGATTCTTCCATGTCGAGTGATCATACCAGCAAACTTCTGTGTTTGCTGCCACCAGTGAATAGTAAGGCATCATATAGCTGCAGTTCAATATCTCTATTCATCCATGTCCTTCATAACTGGAAGGAAGAACACACCTTATGTATGTTTTGGAAACGATGCTGGACTAAATTGTGTCTTGAGCACCACTGTAACTACTGAACAGGTCATTGTCCTTTCTGTTATGTTGAGAGTAGCTGAACCTAGAAGATACAGATACTCTAATGCAAGAAAATACCCTTAGACAGTAGCCAACCCTATACATATTTAAGCTCAGCTAATCCTGGAAGTTGTAAAGGGAGATCCTTATCATATACATCAGATCAGACATGACCTTATGGCTTCAGGGACAGACTAACCGCCCAAAATATAACGGGGAGCAGGAAGGATAAAGATTTTTGTTCATATACTCTCTTTAAATGAACGGCTTTAACTAGTCTGGGTTTGACTCAGATGCTGTACCATGGGGACAGAGTCAGTATTGGTTATTAGATTTCAAATTCCCATCCCATTTGGAAACATGAGACTCTTATTTGTCACAGATTTTGGCCCATTCCATTTTTTTCAACTACAAGAAATAATGATGAATGACATAAAACTCACTGCATCTTTGTGGGAACAGAATTCAATACTATAATTTTGTAATAAAATATCTTAGAAAAGTGTTATGAAAATACTAACCTATTAAATCCATGGCAACATCAGCCACTGTTCTGGGAATAAAAATTTAGAATGAGCAATAAATAATCAAGCCACCAAAAAACATGAACAGAATCTGGATGGTACAACCTGTGATACGGCTGGTATTTTTACTCTTACATTGAAAGCAATCCCCAGGTAAATGCAAAGCTGGTTACAGAGGACAAAGGTTAGGCTTCAGTCATTAGTATCTGATTTTTGGTATGCCATCATTGCAAGCAGTAAGGGGAAAGATTTACTAAGGTATTTAGGTACCTAACCATGCCTAGCAGCATTTATAGCAGCATCTAAGTAGGTTAAGTACCTAATTCCCATTAACTCCATCAACATCTTTAAGCTGCTAAACACCTCTGTGAAGCTGGCCCCAGAGCCTGACCTGACAGGTTTCTATTTGAACTGGTGTGGCTGGGCTGGCTGCAGCAGCTGAAGCTCAAGCTGATGCTCCTTGAAGCAGGGTGGTAGGTATGTTTGATACATGAGGAACAGGAACACAGAAGTGGACAAAGGCTCTTGAGCTGACTTAAAAGTTTTACTACTGACTTAAGGTAGAGCTGTACAAAAGTCACTCAGAGCAGTATTTGCAAAAAGGCCACTGAATTTTGGTGCTGGGTTTGGAGTAAGCATTATTGTTTCTGACTCAGTGAGTTGCTTGAACAGAGTGTTAAGAATCCCATCAGTTTCTAGAAAAGTCAAGATTTCACAGGCCAAGTCACAACAGCATTTCCTGAGCTTCAGGAGAGCCTTTCCCACTAGTCAGTCCTGCACAGCCTGGCTTGTTCCACAACAACAAACATTTTTTTTAAAGGATTTTCCTTGCCTTAACTCGATACCAACAGACACCCTCTTGCATGTCAGAAACAGACTTAAAGAAATCAACCAAACCATGTTTCAGGTTCATAAAGCAGCCTGTCATGAGAAGCATTTAAACAGATGGTGAATGTTACGTGGGATAGCTCAACCTGCATTAAACACTTTACCTGACTGAACCTGTCTCTCAGTACTCCAGCTTGTCAGGTTTATCTCCCACAGCGAAATGCACATGGTGAGACCCGTCTCTCTCTGGCAGCGGGTGCCCGAGGTAATGCCAACGCCACTTGGTCTGAGGAGCAGATGAGGCCACCCAACAGATAGTGTCCACAAAGCAAATATATTCTGCAGTAAACCAGCTAGTGAAAAGCATGTTACAAAATTAAAAATTACCTCTATTTTTATAACCTTTTATTTCTCATTTTAGCATAATTAATTTCGTATTCCTTAATTTGCAGTAGAGGCTAAAGCCTCCAGCTGATCTCTCGATGGGACACCATTAGCTTCTGTTTCTTCAACTACAACCAAGGGGGGCATAAGTAAAGCAGGTGAGGCTCCACTGAGATCTGCACAGCCATTGTAGCACACCTGATTTGCTTTTTTAGCTTCCTTTAAATGTTGGGTTTTGGTAATTCTGAAAAAATTTGTTAGAGCAGGAGAAGTGAGATTTGTTCTCTCCCTCTCTCCTTGGCTGACCGTTGGAGTTTTACCCCATTACGTGCCTAGAACAGCTCTAGAAGGTAAGCAAGTCCTGCTTCAGTAACATGCATAGCCCACATAGATGAAGTGATTTGTACTGTTTAATCACATAAGTACTTTATATCAGTGAAATCTGATGTACACAAGAGATTTCCATCACCACAAACATGTTTGAGTACAAAGAGGAACGGTAGTCTGCATCAGTTCTGGTTTTAAAGGGCATGGTATCAAACAGGAGGCTTTCTAAACAGAGGCCGAGTAGGATCATCCTTTACAAATAACACTGTGAGAATTACAGTGAAATTCTCTGTTTGGAGCCTGGCACCACTGCAAACACATGTGAGCCCTTCAGACTCCAACTGAAAGCAGTGTCAGAACAGATTTTAGTGCTGTAAGGTTGTCTCTGAGGTGGTCCCTGCTTTGTATTAAATGTCAGTGTGCAAATAACAAATGTTGTTTTTCCCTCATAACTGATCATAAAAATCTATAGAGGCTTTATATATTTGCTTACATAATAGCTGTATCTTTTCTATAGATTTAACTGTAGAAAACTACAGTGCAGCCACTGCCTGGCTGTGCACCCGCCTGACCACTGTGTGAATATTTAAGCAATGTTTATGGAATGGCCAGCTCATGTATGTATGTGTGCTTATATTTATCTGGTGGGGTTGACGAAAGGATCGTTTAATTTATTGAGACACTGAGTAGTGTTACAAGAAGTTATTTATCGCCTGTGGAGCTGAGTATCTAATATGCCTGTGTAGGTATCTGTGTTAAGCTGTTTGCTTTCATGGGAGAATGTGCCATTTTAAATTTACTGGAATATTTGCAGTATTTGAAGGGTAATGTGGGGCAAGTATTCAGGTAAAGATTAACATCAGTGTGTACCAGAACAGTATTTTTCACAATGTCACCTTTACAAGGAAAATAAATAGAGGTATGGGAATCATTTATGGCCCCATGGCCATTCCCTTGTAAAGATGTAGTTTCATTATCTTAAGGGATATAACATGTACTTTCATTTCTTTTCCACTGACATTTTTTTATTCTGGAATAAAAACGAAAAGTTGTTGTTTACAGTGTTGCACATTTTGCCAACTGCTTTTTACAATTTCTTTTGAAGCTATCCTAGAACCATTTTCTCAATATACACAGTTTCAGCTTAATCCAAATAATTTCACAAACTATTTCACAGAAAGGAAGAGACAAGAGGAGATAGAGAGAAATAACCTAGGAAACAAGTATGCCAGCGTACAAAAATAGATTAGAACAGTTGGAGATTGTAGGTATGAAAATGTAGTCTCAATAACGGAGAATCTGAACGAGTGGATTATCTGGAGAGGTAACGCTTACGGGAGAAGCAGCTAGATAGATACAGAGATCTATTTCTAATGTCTTTAATTTCTAGGCAAATTTATAAGAGGGGGAGAAATAGTCTCCAAGTTTCTGAAATGTTCTCATCTGTGGGTGGAGGCAGTAAAGCAGAGCAGGCAGATTGCCAACATTTTGTCTCAATTTCTCCCCCTCTCGTGCACAGCAGGCTGTGCATTGCCTCTCAGAGCCAGAGATCATTACCACTCCCCAGGAAGGGCAAGCAGTCTGTGCAGAGCTGTCCTCCTCCAGCTGATCTAACAGAAGGACAGCTTTAAATTGCTGTTAGGTCTCTATGAAGTCTCTGCTCATGCAGCCTGCCTGATCCATAGTCTCTGTCCCTAAATAGCTTTTCCTGTTTGAAACACCCAGCTCGCTGTCACAGAGCCACTAGCAGAATAAATCAAGTTTGTGAGGGTCAAGTGGAGATTCAAACCTCTCTTGAACAGCACTGGGAAACTGGAATCTATATGCAATCTGGATAGCATGGAAGTACGAACTGAAAGGGCTTGTCATAAAGCATCCAAACAACTCCTACAGCAAATATCGCAAGGAATTCAGATCATTATATATCCTCTATGGGTCATGAATCTGCCGTTTTCAGAAAAGGGATTGCAGTGTCCAACCCTGAAACTGAAGCACATGCTCTGTCCCCTCAGATCCTGTTCTCCAGGAACACAAAGGAAGCTGTGAAGCACGTAGGAGCCATAGGAGCAAAATAAGGCTAAAGCATTTATGCGCTATTGCTATGAGAAGTTTTCTTAGAAATATAAGTTACTGTGGGTCTGCTGAGCAAGCTCTTCCTTCTAATCTACACCACCTGTGTATATTCGTGGATAATTTGGTTCTGACCTAGTTAAAAGTGCAAAACATTTTTTCCTATTTGCTTATCCAATATATCCTGACATCTACTTCCAGCCAAGCCTGCAAAAAACTCTTTTGTGAGACACACACACTCTTCCTCCAGGAAGAACACTTGGTGATGTGCTCTACAGCTCACAGGCCAAATGCAATAGATTGCTGCTCTACTGTTCAAAGAAGACTTGACTTGGGCTTTAAAAGAAGGTATATCGATTCAAAAGGATCAACAGCTACAGTGTGCCTGACTCGGCACAGCTCTGCAGTGCTAAGGACAGAGAGTGTGGCACAGGCACCAGAACTGCAAATCAGTCTGGTCTTTATATCCATTCCTCAGAGCACAAGGATTTTTAAATCCAGTGCCAAACCTGCTGAAGGCAGACCTCAAAAAAATTGTGATTGCACAGCCTCATTCCTTTGTATCGGCCAATAGAGGTGAGCTGGAGTGCAGAAGGGTGCCTGAACATTTCCAGGGAGGTTCTGCAGTCCTTAAGCATGCTGCTCAGAAAAATGCAGATTGCAGCCTGTGTCTTTTTCACACTGCTACAATCCGGCTCTTCTTGGACTGAAGGTCAGAGATAGGGTTTTCCTTTGGCATATTCAGCAGTGCTTCTGCGAAGTTTCAGGTCGGTCTTTCACTCATTCATCAACACCTACCATATATATTATACACATAGATGCACATTTATAAAGGAACCTCCAAAAAAAGTAGCATAGAATCATATTTGACAAAGCTGACGTCATACATTGTGCTGTAAATAATGAGATTTAAAATATCTTGTGCTACTGAGGTACAGTAACCTGTTCATTAGCTTGCACGAGCACCCCGTCATTTTCTTTATCCTCTTTAAATTATCACCAATGTGTACAAAATTATTTTCTTCTACTTAAAGACCAGCTTTAAGGAGGTGACTGATTTCTGCTGATCCTGGAGGTGGTTTCACAGGTTTCATTGTACTTGAAACTTCACAGCTTCCACTGAAGTATTTGATGCATGTATGTATCAGTTTAGCAGAGTACAACAGCGGAATAATTTTAATTCTTGCCTCATATTGTGAACAGAGTATGGTGTCCTCTACCAAAACTGTTTCTTTTTACTTGACAAGTTATCAAAGACTTACATTTTATAAAGCTCAGCCACCAATCTTAATACAGTACTTCTTTTAAATGTCATTAGGGCTCCAATACTTGTAATAAGTTGCTAGATTTCTATTAGCAAAACTTATTTGCAAATTTCTTCCATAAAAATAAAATTTTTCAGTAGTTAAAGACATCTACATTACACTCACTAGTGTTGGTTAAAAAAAGGAAAAAGCTCACCTTACATCTTTCAGTCAACCATCACCTGGAATTTACCACATGAAAGTACAACCAATGGTCCCATCTCTTATGCTGGTCAAAGCTGTGAAGATTTCACTTCAGGTCAGTGGAGTTATACCATCAGAGAAATCATGAAAAAACCTGAGGTAAGACTGATCCCTGCACACCAGACTGGGACAGATTAAGGATTGAAGGGTAACTTCTGCAGCACCAGCATCTTTTGTAGCACCGTCAATAAACCCAGCTAAAGAATGGCAGAACTTCCTTGGACTTGAATGGGAGAAATGTCATCAGGTACTATTACATTAGACTAGAAAGTACATAGATTTAAAAGTGTGCATCTTCTCACTAACATATGGAACCTAGACAAATTACTTTCTGTCAACAGCTGTCCTCAGCTCTTGGACCTGGGAAGCTCTTTTATTCCATCGTCATCATCCTCAGAGCAAAGCAAGCTCAGTGCACTTGTCACGGGATGGATCCATGACGTTGTCTGTGTCACATGGCTAAAAAGAAACAAGAAAAAAAAAAGTTTACCAATCTCAAAACAAGAAATACCAGATACAGTCTGGAGTTATGATGATTATTACAACACTTTCAAATACAGATTTTTTTTTTTTTTTAATTTTTTTTTGTAACTATGAGATTTTTACAAGATGTGGAGTCTTCCAGGTGCTAGAACTTGGACTGAAGGTCTCATTTCCCAGTATATTAGACCCTACATTTGACATGCAGTCTAAGCTGCTTTAGTTTTTTGGTACACTTCTATATGAATGGAAAGAACCCGATCAAGGCTCGGTAAGGACAGATAAATGGAACAGGCTTACTGTTTGCGGGTGAGAACACTGTACACCTTATGATTGGTAGTATGCATGCTAGCCATACTGTGTGTGGGCAAGACACAGCCTCTTCTCCCTTCTGGAATAATGTGTTCTTGGTAAAGGAAATAGCTTCTTTTCACTTAAAAAAACCTCCTTGCTAATAAATTCACAGTTTTTATAGTCAAGTCAGTGCAAAGATGAATTTTGTAATATAAGTTCATTATAAGAACTAGCTGAAAAATATTGTATGTATAATATACACCATAAAAGACAAGCAGCTCTTCCTCACAGCTTCTTACATACAGTACCTAAAGCCCATGCCTATGGGCTACTTCAGATTTACCTTTTCAAGTAAAACCAGATTTTGTCTTTCTGTCAGATAATGCTCTCTTGTCAGATAACAATGCTCTCTTGAATATCCGGCTATGGAAACTGATACGTTAAAGTGGGAATTTGACTCAATGAGTTATGGGTATGGTGATCACTAATCCAGTCAATAGGATTGTTACCTTGTATTCACACCTTGATCTTACCTTGATAACATCCCTGATCTTACCTTGTACCCACACCTTTCATTTGAGTCTACCGAGCTCAGAACAAGTTGGATATGATGAGGACAACAATACTATTACCAAGAGGTAAATATGATGCTAATGTAAATCACATCACAAGCTGCATTAATAGATTAACCGATCTCTGAACTGGTAATCGGTGAATTTAGCCAATAATTCAGTTGAAGCTATACCTGAGTAAGGACCAAGCAAGAAAAACAAAATGTGGAAGATAAAGGCCATATCCTCAGTTATTATCCTTAAAAAAACCCCCAAACAAACAAAAAAAACCCCAAACCACAAACCGAAAAGCTCCAGTTATGCGTAAAAACAATTAATAAGTGCTTTTTCTGGTCAGAGCAGCACTGGCTGGACTCCATTCCTTCCTGAATATATTACAAAAATGTGCATCACCTTACTGAAGCTATAGAGATCAGTTTCACAGAAGTTAAAACAGAAGTGTAACTGAACCACATGGAGCTACAGAAAATGCAACAGCAGATACTGACCATTCTCGAGTACAGTAATCATTGCATTCTAAGAAAGTGAATGTCTCATTTTTACTAGAAATGAGAGCAACTTTCCAAAGTTTCCAATGTTTACATTTAGAAAGTCAGACGATAGCCAACATGAAGAATACAAAGAGAGTCCTTTTACTATGTTTTATGAGAACTTTGTGAATAAAATCTGTCTAATCAAGAACATCATTCCCATTATTCTACAGCACAGGAAACATATGTATTCATATTTATATTATGAATATATTTATATTTGTAAACATACTAAGGAAAATGTCTTTGCTGTATTTTCTATAATGTCAGGAAATGCCTTTTTTTTTCTTCAATTAAAAAAATTAGTTAATACTGAAGATAGCACTCTGAATTAAAGTCCCAGCATGTGATTTCATTTATCTGCGTAACAACACAGAACTCCTTCCAATACCTGCGGAATCATGGGAGCCAAATGAACTGGATTCCATCCATTCCAGCTTTGCCAATGCAAGATTTATTGCCTGCAGCACTATTTTAAGTGTTTATTTGTCTGCTTTTATCAAGCCATTTCCCAGCAACCCATTACTGAATTCAAATAAGACCAAAATTATTTTTAAATTTTATTTTTTCCATTTGACTTCCCCATGTAGCATGCCTAGACATGCTATGTACATAAATCCTTAGCTTTATCTTCTCATGAGCATGCAGTATCAATCCTGTGAAATGGAAGAAACTGCAGGAATAGAAGAGCTATGTGGAGAAGCATTCACAGGTCTTTGATGTAATCAACTAAAAAATTCTTTATTAAGTGTTTATTCTTCAGAAGATTTTCCTCCTACATACTTCAGGACCAGGAGGCAAATGATAGCATGCCTAACTTTCTGCTAACCGCTGTAAGAACTTGACTTTGTTCTCATTCAAGTTAAATGCAAAAACTCTCCAGATCTTTAATAGTGCAGAATTGTGGCACTGAAATCAGGGTTAGAATTTTCTATATTCAGTGGCATAACATTGTTTAATCACTGGTAAGAAAGAAAAAAACTAGTTTTCATCCATTTTCGTATATATGGGGCCAAAGTTTGCTCTAATGTCAATCTGCTGTAAATGCTTCTGATTCGAACTCAAGTTCTTTTAAACTTGCCCTAGACTAAAGTCTGAACGCTTGTACTAGGACAGTCTGTTTTAAATCCTCTGCCAAAATCCTTACTAGGAAAAGAACTCTTATAAATAAACATTAAGTCCAGATACCATGTCTCACATTGTAGACAGACACACACAATATGCACAGATTGTTTAGGTAAAGAATAAATGTATAAACCCCCCTGGAATTTATTTTTAGCTCTCCAAAAGTGCTGTGGCTAAAGAGCTTTGACATAATCAGTCCGAAGAGATAATCCCAGATTTACTGGTTTGCAGAACATTCTTGTATTAGAAATACATCCTCTCTGATTTGTGTGTTAGGGCCAGCAATAAAAGTGAGAGGGAATTCGAATCTACCTCTAGGTTTTGCTTAATTGATGGAACTGCTTTGAATATTAAAGGAATATTTGGAAAGCCAGCATTACAAATTCTAAATGTAAAATGTTTTCCATTTGCAAGTCTTCCTGTTCAAAAGATTAATTTCACTTTTTCAGAGCAATTAACAATATTTAAAGATTTGCAGGTTTTCAAACAAGTCGTTGCTATCAGAGGTAGCCAAATTTACGGTTAGAAAGCAGAAACATTTGATCTGGAAATATGTCAGTAGCTTATTCTGTCTTTTTAACATTAGTAAATTGCATGACAAATTTTAGAGCTTGGAAAAACAAAACATGAGAACACAAGGATTTTTTTGGCAAAGAAGTGGTAGCGAATTATTTAAAATACCATTATAATTACCCTCCTTATGGTTCTTACTTCTTTACATGGAAATTGATTTCTTGTAAAATGAGAACTTAAGACAATCTTTTAAGAAAAGAATAATTCAAAGAAAAATTCAGAGAAAAACTAATGGAAAAAATGGCTGTTCCTTTCGTAGATTTTGAGCATTATTGAGACATGCTTTTCACCTTAAATTCTGTTCTCCAACTAGGACCAAATTCTGGAGCCTAACAGGGAATCACGAAGAGTCTTGTAGACAACAAGTGCTGCAGGTCACTCTGCAGGATGCTGAGCTCGCAAGCAGTGATGTGGCATCCTTTGAAGTTGGGGTTTTTTCCCCCCTTTTTGACATGGAATGACATTCCTAACACCTGGCTGAAGTTTTCCAGTGCACCAGGGTTACTTAGCTCTAAAAGAAGCAATCTTATGCAAGACCCATTTGTTTGAGATCTGTTCAGGAGACAAGATGCAGCTTTAAACAATCAGTCAAACTCTCCTAATGAATAGGGACCACTACTCATTAGGGGCCAAATAGGATTTAGTTGTATCTGAACTTGGAAAGCCAAATTCTGGCCTCATATGAACCCTGTGCTTCTCTACCAAACTGAGCAGTATGGAAGGTGAGAGTGAAAGCACAGCTCTGCTCATGTGAAATAAACCCCAAGGTTTTCCTCCCTAAATGAACATACCCCATAACCTAAATCCATTTAATCCATGGTAGTGATTTTGCTAAACTTAATTGTTTTAATCTTACTTTTTGATTTGACAAACTTCACTAGCCCTTTAAAATGCCGTAATGCTCAGCTACAGAGTACTGATGCTTGATAGAGCTTTTACCTATCTGTGCACAACCGGAATTTTTGCAAAGCCACTGCAGTGTGGTACCACGGGCAGCCATAAGGCTGAGATGGAGGAAACTGCACGCTCTGAAAGCTCTGCTCTTTAGTGCTTTCACTGTTGTTATTAAACTAATCATTAAAAAATGTAGCAAACAGCACTGCTAGATGTAGATGCAATGGGTGGGAAGGGGACATGCTTTATACTAACCAGAAATATGTTCCATATTGTGCTTTTTTAATTTTAAGACTTACATGCGTATCCCGCTGGGATGTTCTGAAGTTACTGTGGAAGATGTGAATGCCATCTGCTAGATGACTACCAATATGGGAGACTACACATTCCTTCGTTACCCACTAGTATGCAGGCCCCCATGCAGTGGTGGTTTG